TTGAATTTTTGCAACTTAGGTTATAAAGATAATTCAGTGTCATCAGGTTCCGGACAATCTAAAGTATTAGATGTCACTTAGCTTCAGGTGATATACCGACAATTTGATCCCCGGGACCTAATCAATGAATCAAAAAAAGCCAAATGGAAAAAGGTTTGAAACAAAGCTTGTATCAAATGCCAAAGTGAATATATCTCTTGGACCTCTTTTTATTGTTGTGTATATGCGTAAAGATAAACTTTAAGAATCTAGAACAATGAGTAATCTTTCCTGGCTGTGAGCGGTAAGTGAATTCATAGGCTTCAGCAGACTGTATGGATTTTTCTTATGGCCTGCTGAGTACTAGAGTAGATTTAGTGTACTAAAAGTACATGTATATAATGACTAAAATCAAAATTCAGGAATATGACTAAAATAATGTTACTGAGTACCAGCATACTCCATAACCTTGCATAAGGAAAACAGGAAAAGAAAATTGTTGCCAAAGCCCCAGGGGTTGCATATCAGGACTTCACGGGCCATGAGTTTCTCGTGTCTGATTTAGAAGGAACTGTCGACAGGTAAACTTCATAAAGGTGTCTCACTCTATGGGACACAATCAAAAACATAAACATTTTGCCAGCTAAAATTTTAATGTAACTAGAAATTGTTTTGCTTATTATTTAAATTATTCTGTGGTGTATACAGTGTAGACAAGTCATCCTTCATTCAGACTCTCTCTTATTAAATGTATATGGCAAATCTTTACCCGAAAATCTACAAAAATACAGGGTGGGAAAAAAGTCACTTAACACCCCAGCTACAGAATATAGAATGTACTCAGTTAATTTGCTCATGTCAGGAACACATTAGACAAAGGGGGAAACAATTGATGTGTGTTACAAGCATGGCTGCCATCTTGAATGCAACTGTGAAACTGTAAATGGGAAGGAAGTTGTGTGACACATGATTTAGAGTTCAGAATTTCACGAGGAATTGATTGCCAAAAGATTTTATTGACCTATCTCAAACAGCGTTATGCACGTTACACGATGCTTTCAATGTATAGTACATTCTTTGGATTACATTCTATATTCTATAGCAGGGATGTTAGGTGATTTTCTTTCCCACCCTGTAAAACAAATTGTAAGCATATTCCACAATCTCAACCTATAAGCTGATCTGAATACTTGCTGGTGTTACCATAAACATGTAAAAGTTCAAATTCTATTATCTTCTGTTTTTTCCAAACCTTTCAATTTGAGATTCATCTAATGCTGAAACCAAGTAACTCCAAAAAGTTTCTTTTTATTTGAAGTTAATTTTTTACTATAAGCTAATTTTTTTTTCTAATTCCTAGGCTTTATAGTTGCAGGAATAGAGGTACTACAAACATCTCATCTTTTGAGATAAATCTGAATGCAGATGCTTTTACTATTTAGAAATGAATTGTTTTAAACACCTTTTTGTTAGATGTGGAAAAAAATTAAACATCATTTAGTTGTAATAAGTTTGTTTATGCAATTTAGAATTTAAAGAATTTTTCAAATGACTTAAACCGCAAAAAACTAGTTACTTATCTAATTCAATATCTTATCGGCTAAGATGATTTCATCATAGTAATGCCATGAGTAGATAACTTTGATGATGAAATTGTTAGTGTGTTGTTTTACTAGATGTTTAAAATTATTTAATATACTTACAGTATGTTCTTTTGATAAAAACTTTTAATTTTCAAACTTTATTAAACTTAGTATTGTCTTAAATGTACAAATATTCTGCAGGAAATCAGCAGTGTAAAAAAGTTTTGATTTAAAGTTGAGATAAGCTCCTACTTTACAATTTACTGTGTTGTTTACTGGGAAAAGTGACACATTCCATAATGACATCATGTATTTTGTTTAATTGTGGATGAAGATAATAGATGATAAAAATCCAAACTTTATATTACTTGACTGTTATGTATGGTGTCTCGAAATCTCGTAATTATTTAATTAGCACTTAATTAAACAGCTTCTATTAAACTAAATATTCATAAAAATATTAAACAGTTTTTGAAAGATCACAGATGTAATAATTTCAGATGTGTTGAAGTGACATTTAAGTGTGGAAAGCTGTGAAATGTCATACCATTTTTCACGTTTATCATATCTGAATTCTGTTTCAAGTGGTCCAGTTTTATCTAAGTTAAAAGTAAATATTTTTTTTTCCTTTTATGAAATTTCTACCTTTTAAAATTTGAATTATCATACATTTAAAATTCATACATTCACTTTTCTCATTCTGTGCTTGGTATTATATTGGTACGTAGCTGTTCTCGGTATAGAAAACAAGCAGTTTAGATACTATTTCATGGCTGGATTCACTTATGTTAATTGTCCCTCTTTCATGTAGATTTAGGACCGATTTCAGCTGTTGTATTCTAGATGAGTACTCTTTTTTAGTTTCTAATTGATGTACTAGTATGCTCAACATTATCTAACTTTAATGATTTGTTGGTAGTATGTTAAGTGAGGGCTAATGTTGTATACATCATCTATGAGACAAATTGTAAATTACATAGTTATTAAATTATTAATACTCGCAGCAGTGTACTAGTAAAAGAATTGCTATTTAGTGGTAAATTTAACTGTTTAAACATGTTAAATTATTTAAAAATCATATCTGGTTTAAGATATGTCTTTAAATTAATAAATTAGTGAATCTGAGAATTGCTTTTTAAATATATATATTATAAATATCTGATACAAATGAAAAGATTCTTCATTCACAGAATAAATATTAAAATTTTAATATTGAATAGTTTCGTGTAATAATGTTTTTGTAATGTTTCAATTGAAAGTTTTAAAAATAGAAATTTCTTATTATACAAATTTTAACTTTCAAGAGCCATAAAATAACATTTTTAAAGCATCTGATTATATTAAGATCCATTAATATGTATATTAGAAACTCCGATATAAAGTGCTCTAATTTCAGTTATCTTTGTGATAATTATTAATGTGTCTCCAGATTCTGTTATAAGATTAATTAATACAATAAACAACAACGTACGGTTATCAGATAAGTTAGTTTTTGTAGACATGGCAACTTAGATAAGGATGATTTGTAAAATTTTATATGCAAAGATTGGATATTTGGCAATAAAGCTTGCTTTTAATCATAGAAACAGTAGTAAATTCTTTGTATAATTCATGAAACTGCAAATTATAAACTATTTATGTTTCTGAAAATGGAATCTTTTCAAACTATGAATTTGAAGCTTATAAAGATGAAGCTTAGAGCTTCAAAAACATTTACATAATGATTACTGTTTTAAGATATTTGTTTTGCTACAAAGATTATTAGATGAAGACTACATTATGCAGCAACTTGTTTGTGTAAAATTTGACAATCCTAGATCTGTGTTGCTTCCCGATATCTGGTACATTTTGCCATGTGTTGGTCTCGACTACAGTCAATGCACCAGTGAAGGGATTAATAACCTATTACCAGAACGTCTGGCAACAACCTAACAAGATGGCAGAAGCAAACGGTGCCATGTTGGCAATTGCAGACTTATTTTGTCAAGGTAACTCTAGGTTAATATGGACGAGTAGTAAAAATAGCTTTAATAATATAACTATAGAGGGGACCATATTTCTTCATTGGAGCTCTCCATATTCGCAACAAGTGCAACATGCGTCGGTCGTTGCACCGACAAACTTGTTGGCAAATGACGGAACACATTTTAGTACGTTGCAGTTTGTCGGCGTGCCGTTTGATGCATAATTGAATGTACCCAATGCTCTTATGATACAATAGAGAAGCAACGGCTACAATGGATTAATGCACGAACATTTTAATAATTATGAAAATGACTATTTTAATTATTCAACTAGATATTTATATTTTTACAGTCTTTTTAGAATACTGGGATAAACTTTGCATAATATGTATATACTGTATATGCTTTGCTGTAAACTTGAATTACTTATACCTTGATGTGGGGTAAATTTGGCTAATGTTCAGACTTATCGTACGTACCCTGCAGGTCAAGTGATGAAAACCAAATTAGAGATCGGATCCAAAAAATTATTACGCTTTTATTGACATTGGAAATGCATTTCGGACTTACAGTACCTCGTCAGTCCAACCATCTTGCATAGATGACTAAAATTATATAATACAGACAAATTTAATTGTCAGTCACATTACATGTCTGATAAGTATTTAAATATTAACTGTGCTTATAAGCAGAATTTCTAGCACATATAAACATAACATGATTATCCTGCTCTTAATGATGATAGTTATCCTGAGACTGCACATCTACCTATTTAATTTAGACATCTTTACAAATAATTTTAGTTTACACTTATTTAGGAGGTAAGAAAATTATATAACAGATTTTAGAAGAAAACACCAACCAGTTATAACACACAACTGTAAAATTTATGGCATTGCAATCATCACGTTCTCAACGGATTTCCTTTTGCTTATTATACATTGTAATTTTTCCATCTTTATTGTTTCTCACTGATAATTAGAATGTAAATGATAATTTATACTATATTTTATAAAATAATCAATAGTACAATTTTGTCTTCTTATTTGTATATTTATTTAATTTATATTGTAGTAATTTAATAATAATTTTCTGTAAACTAAACTATTTTATTCTAAGAATTGTTAGATTAATAAGTAATTGAATAAATTATTTCCTTTCATAAATTGCACATTATTTATTTTAAATTTGATAAATTTTATTTAATAAAAATGTTTTTCAGATATAAAAATTTAAAACATTCAAATTTTGTGACTGAGTTTTAAAAAATTTAGAAAATTTATCTCAATTAGATAATAGAATTTGTTTATGTTAAAATTATCTAATCTTGAAATTCATTGCAAAATAACAGGTTCAAATACTATTGGTTACATTTCTTGAATCAATTTTAAACAAAATACAATGATTATTATTATTTATTTTTTAATATAAATTACAATTAAAAATTGTTATAAATGCTATTTTCTTTTTTAAGGTAGGCAAGCATGCGAGAAAACGTCCTTTTTATTTTTGAGGAAAGAGCTTCCGGTTCGCTTGGCAAATATCATGAAAGAAATACAGTTACTGCCAGAAAGTTTATTAAGAATGCCATCTGTTATGCTGGTTCAGAGCTGGTAACTTTTGATTTTTTTAGCGAATTTTGTGTAATTTAACGTCGTGTGTTACTCTTAATTTTTGTTCGAGTTAATGATTATTTCTAGATACTTGCAGGGTAAGTCAAACGTTTCTGCTAAGTTTAATGGTTTATTACAAGCCAATGAAGAAATAAACAAATCTTATTCAATGTGTTAGTAATTCAACACTCTCTATCACGGGAAGTGCACAGAAAGGAATTGAAAATAAGAATTATATACCTTATTGTTCAGTTGGTAAATACATTTTTGGACCAAATACATCAGCAGACATAAATATCTGTATAAATGGAATAGATTTCATTTTCCAAAATTTGGGTTTATCACAAAATTTATGAAATACATAAAGCTAGAAAACAGTGTGAAAATTCATTATGTTAAATACGTAGAAATTCAGATTATTAATCATGTGTTAGTAATTATCATTTGAAATATCCAAGGTAGAATTGGACTACTTAAATTGATGATCTTTTAAAACATCTGCCTAGAATCAAGCGTAAAGTTAACATGCAAACACGTTGCCAGTTATTCCATCTGAAAGCAAATCTACTCCTGTAGACATCATAAATTTGAATGTATGTATCATGATCCAAAAATTTACATACATTTCTTAAAATTTAATTTGATAAATAGAAATTAAAAAGTGTAAATATATATAATGTACAGTACATATTTTGAAATATATGGATTAGGACTCTTCTGTAACTGCGCTTAAATATAAATCATACCTCAAAACAAAAATCTTTAAAATGCAGCCTTTTTATTTGTATTTCAAATGTTTTCGGCCATTTTGAATGGTCTTCCTCAGGAACTGAAAAATTGAATGATTCTGCTTTTACTTTCTATAATGAACTTTCTTTTGGAACATATTTTTATAATCTGCTATTAATACAATGGACCTCCCATGATCCTGCAAGCTATAAAATAGCAGTGTTCCGGGCGCTTATAAAGAAAGCATACACGCACTGCAACAAACCTCAAGAACAGAATTAGAGAATTAGATCACATCAAAGAACTAACTAGGCAGTGCGGTGTCAGCCGCACTGCCTAGTTAGTTCTTTAATAAAGGCCATTATTAACAAAACAAGAATACATGATAATGAAGGTAATGAGCAGGAAAGAATAGAATAATACACTGTTAGAATACATGGTACCACTAAGCGAAATTTACAAAGAAATAGGCGCAGCAACAAACAAAAAGATGATTTTTAAAAAGAATCCAACAATATACCAAATGCTGTGTACAGACAAGCAAGACATAGACCAGAACCCGATACTAGGAGTTTATAGAATACCAGTACGAGACAAAAGACGACAAAAAGAGCTGTACTACATCGGAGCCACGGGGAGGTCGTTGAAAGGAAGGCTAATAGAGCATAAAAGGAACATACAGAATGAGCAGCCAGTAACAGCACTAGCAACGTATGTTATAGCAGATCCGACAGAGGTCATAGTGGATTGGAAAGAGCTAAAATAATACAAAAGATCCAGGACAAGAGACACCTGAAATATGATGAAGCATGGCAAATAAGACAAACCAGGAAGGGTTAGCAATAAACCACAGAGAGTCACGTAAAGTCCCAGCAGCGTGGAGAGCGGGCATAATATGATAATTTTAGTATGAAAAAAGAGGGGGACAAACAGTAGAGAACTTGTTTTTCATTTTGTACGAGCATGCACACTAGATAAGAAAAATAAGAAAATTCAAAAGTTTAAATGTTCCAAAAGAAAGTTCATTATAGAAAGTAAAAGTAGAATCATTCGATTTTTCTGTTCCTGAGGAAGACCATTCAAAATCGTCAAAAACATTTGAAATATGAATAAACAGGCTGCATTTTAAAGGAATTTGTTTTGAGGTATCAGTTATATGGATTAGGATGTATAATGGAAATATTCATTGTAATATTTATTATTAATAAGTATCAATATACATGGTCTTCCAAAACAGTGCTACCATTTTAAATTACTGCAATTACGTTTATTATTATCTGAGAAGTGTGCAACATATGCCACTCAATAGAGTAACCGTTTGAGTTTCATCTCCCATCCACATTCAAATGTCTTGTTGTCTACTACCTTCATGAAGTGGCACAGATGAAAATTTTGACTCTACAATGGGAGAGAGCATTTGTAAAGCTGGAATCGCTCATCATCGTGTAACACAAGTAATCTGCGGTAGCATTGTGGCCGACAGGGGAATGATGACGGGTATGCCGTATTACAAAATATTATGCAACTTAAAAAACCAGATAATAAAATAATTACAAACAAGCAATTATTTATTGTGACATTAAAAATTGCAGCCCAGCATTGTGACAGTCATGTTTTTAATGATTTTTTTTTAATATAGAATGTATGCTTGCCACCTCAAATTAGTAGTGTTTTGACCTTGTACATCATACTTTTCCATTAGCAATAGAGTTGTGCCAGTCATCTAACTCTTTTCAAGAAAATTTTTTAATTGAAATAACATTACTTCTGGTTTGTACTGGAAATTTGTAATAGTTAATTGAGGCCTCTTGCTCCTAAGGTTTCCACATCTGATCTCGTCTTTCATCTATCTAACAATGTTCTCAAGATTATGGAAAGATAGATGGACAACATTGGGAATTTATAGGCCTACAACTTTTTCAAATTGCAGCCCAATCAGAATAAAAAACAAAGAAAATTATTAAAGTTTATATGTATATACATTTAATACAAAATAGTAACTGCAAGATACGGTGCAAAGCTGTTAAGGCATTGGCCTACCATTCTGGGGGGCCAGGATTGAATATGGGGCAGTTAAAAGATCCTGGCAATTTTTGTGGGTGGTAGTCTCGGGTGTGTCGAGCCCGTTTCTCGTCCCTCGGTCATCCACGCCGTGGGTCTGGCCAAAAATAAATGATGGGAAAAATACAAAATAGTGGTGAATATGAATTGGAATATTTTTATATTTCTATAACATTTGAAAGATTTCTCCTCATAAAAAGATTAGAATTATGAATGAGCAGTTGCACTGTTTGAGAGAGAGAACCATAATAATTAAAACATCAATTTAGATTTAAATGCAATTAATTACTTGATTTTGAGTTTGCTTTTTAATGTTCATTAAATTTAAGTTTTTAAAATTTAAATGGAATTGAAAATTCAGTTTAAATTCTTTAATTCAAAAATTAAAACATTGTTTGTGTAAAATATTTTACAGGTACGAACAAAGTTTCGAAGAAATCTTGGAATTTGAGAAGGAGTCTCCCGATAACAGTAAAATTTTATTCGAGTAAGTTATTTTTATCTGCTTTATTTGTTTTGAATGCATTTTTAATTATAATACATTTAAAGTGAAAAAGTAAATTACATATATAAACAAGGACATCTATCAAAAAACTTGTCATTTGCAAATACTAAATCATTTTCTGATTTATATAAAATTTACAATTTACATAAAACATTTGGTTATATTTTCAATGGGAAATTAATGAAAGTAAATTATGGAAAATTTTTAATCAGTTTTTATTTTTTTATCTCAATTTTCTGTAATAACTATATCATCGATGCTATTGTCTTTCACAAACCGAACATATAAAAATTTAGTTAGTGTTGCATATTTATGACAATTAATTTGATAAGTTTTGTAACAAATACATCATTTAAGAAAAGTCAAATGCATTCGAACTATTTACAATTTTCTAAATTATATTTTTGTTCTCTATTAACACAACATACAATATTAAAAACCTTGTTTATTATGAATTATAAGGTCCACCGTTCAACCTCACAGAAATTTGCTTTGGAATTCTCTGATCTCTCTGAAGGAGGCCATTTTTTCTGCTGTCAGATTCTTGTCTAACTTCGGCTACCTTAAAAAAAAAAATTGTCGCTTAGCTTTGTCTTTATGTCTGAACAAATGTTGCACATACAAAATGATATGTAGAGGAAGCACCTCTGCAGAATTGCAAAAGTAATAGAGCTTAGGAGGAAATATTTAGTTGCCATACAAATGATAAAAACTAGTCGCAAACCAGTGCCGTAACTAGCCTTTTATGCGCCCGGTGTGAGCTTCTGTAACTACACCCAAAACTTGGTCCAGGTCATTTCTGTGCCCTGTGCCCGGGCACTGCCCTAATTACGGCACTGCATAATGCTGGCCAAGAAATACAGTTCTTGCTGAAAACAATATTTTTTTTTTGTATTATTTTGAATTATTCTTTTATGTATGAAAACAATGCACATCACTATATGGAAACTTGATTCGGTAATTAACTACATGATATTTGCAATATAAAATAAACATCTTGAAAAAGTACGAATTTACTTTATTTAGAATGTAACAGAAGTAAAATTCGTCCTCACCGACACAAATAAGCATGTGTTTACAAACTGATATTGGTGTCTTTTGATGTGTGTACATTCGTCAAATGGGTGTATAACACATTATTTGTACAAAAACTTGTTCTCTCAAATTTACAATACTCAACAATTAGGAGATACTGTGTTATCAGTTTAGTAACTGCAATAGATTTGACTTTTGTTTTAAATAATAGTAGTAGACAAATAATAAATTTGGTATAGTTTTTCATCACTAAATCATAATGAACTTTATTAAACTCTGATATAATAGTCCCAGAATGGAATGTATTTAAGCAGTGGAGAAACAAATGGGACGAATCAGAATTCTTTAAAAACTTGCATCATTCTGAAACTTCAAATTGATTATTATAAAAAGATGTTCTTTGATTTAAATTCTTAATTACAATTTCATTTATTTTTAATTATAGTAATATTTATTATTATAGATTTGTATAAAAACTGTTAACTTTTGTTAATTCAAATTAGAAGAGACCCAGCAAAGATTTTGAATTATTAAAAATATCTAGTACGAGTAATCACCCCACCCCAAAATACCAATTGCATTTCTATAAATCAATTAATTTCTATCTATAGTCGATTTGCTAAGTTACATGTAGTGCCATCTGTTGGCAAAATTTTTTTAAAATATATATAGTTTATTTTGTTAAAGTATATCTTTTTCTGTAAGAATTATATTATATTCACTTAATTGCTACAACAATGACATCGCATGTTTTTTGTTTTGTGCTAAATCATTACTGAGACAGGTAGTGCATAGTACTGTACTTGTCTGCATGGAATCAAGTGTTACCCTGTGAAAATTGCATGTGTTTAATTTTCCATATCTAATGACTCTGCTTCTTTCATTTCTGAATAGAACTTTCTTAATTCTAATAAGTGCCCTCCGGTAGTCGAGTGGATAAAACCACCAAACACTGGTAGTTAGTTAGTTGCGGGCATGGACGACGGGCCAGCCACTCAGAGTTTTCTTCATGTCAATAATTCCTAAATATGGTCTAGCTTCCCATAAGTCTTCCGGAGATGCATCCCCTCGGCAGATCGCTCACGTGTAGAGTTGCCATAACCAAGTAATAAATATAGAATTACTTTGGTTTGTGATATTGCCACAAAGACAGGCTGCAATTTTTCATCACAACATTCTCTATTCTTTTTCTGTTAGAATGATATTAATAGAGGTTGTGCCAGTTAACTGTATTCAGGGAAAAGTTTTTAAGTAATGTGACTTCCAATTTAAACTGGAAGTTTCTACACAGTTAACCTGGGTAAGCTTTCCATATCCAGTCTCGGCTTTCATCTATCTAACTCCTTTCTCGACATTATGGAAAGACAATGCAAATTCATAGGCTACAATTTTTCAAATTACAGCCCAAAAATTTTTCTATAAATGCGATATTTACGAAAACATACTTCCCATACAGTTTGTTTAATTTTTGGCAACAAATTGTATATTTCATTATCATGTAAAAATACTAGAACAATTCCTTTTATAGTAACTTTGATCACGTGTTGGGCCATCATGACCTATCCATCACGGATCACTTTTCAATATTAATAGTAGACCAATATAATATTTAGTAGTAGTTGACCTCCTCCCAGAAGAGAGGATGTCAACAACAACAACTTCTTTCAGTTGAATTACTTTGATCTCTTTCCACAACAGTCCCTTCTTCCTATCAGACCCATTGGTACGGTGGCATTTGAATAGGAAAATTATATAATACGAGGTTACCGATTGGCACACAATGTTTTAAGTGGTTGTTGAGGGTGCAGAGTTTAAATATTTGGTCTGATTTTAGCAAAATTTGATTCGTTGACAGATTGTACCATTTGTGGCCAAACATCAAGTGGTGTTTCTTAGTTAACATTGTGAAAAAAATTTAAGATGCATTTTATTCCTATTCGTATTTTCTAACTGGTGTCTACTTGACCAATGAAACTGCCATTTCGTACCGTCAGAGTAAGGCGATAAACATGACAATGGCAGGCCGTAATAACCAAACTTTTTAACAAACTTTAAAATGAAAACCATATCTAGTATAGTATTTGATTTATATAATTACAATCTAATAGAAGGGTTAAAGTATGAAATAATCTAGAAGTACAAAATCTAATATAATAATGTTAATCTTTGTCGTCGTCATTTTTTGCTAGTAATACAACAAACATCATAAAATTAATGCAGAAAAAAAGCATTGTAAAATGATGGTAAAACTCTAGAAAAATTCTATGAGATTGAGAGAAAGATACAGCGGGTGAATGGTTAACAAACACAATTCGTTCGAAGATATAATGTTTGCTACCCGAATTGTTGGTTAACCAATTATTGATTTACCATAGATTTTTATGGAAATACGATTAATTCGTTCTGGAGACCCCCAAAAATACTAAGAAATTATATAAATTAAATTTATTTGTTTATTTACATGTAATAAAGTAAAAGCAACCTCTCCATTTTTTTTGTTTCTCAGATGTGATTTATGTTACTCTTTATCTGCTAGAGCTTTTTGCTCGTATCTACTGTAGACCTGTTGAAGCCACACTGCCTGGCAACGTCAGACATTTACCCTTTCTATCTTGGCTATTATCTCTTATTTAGTTTCTATAGTGAACATTCTTTTTGGGCCCATAATATTATCAGTTTTTTAAAATAAAAAGTTCGGAAAAGAACTTAAAAAATTCAGGGATCATAAATCAACTAGTGCAAAAAAGGTTATGTATTATATATACATCTGTTAAAGTCTTGTTCCATAAACCATTCATAAATGCCAGTAAAATATAGTTTTACAATCTTAACACAGTATCGCTTCTTGTGTTTGTTGTCCGATTTGTTCGCAGTCCAAACTGTTCGTTAACCAATCATCTGCTGTATGTAAAAGATATGACTTGGTGCCTGTTAGGTCATTTGGTCATCTTGCACTTACATTATACATCACAAACAATTTTGGATAATTTGAACAAAAATTACATAAAGGATCTTAAAATCTTGAAATAATGTATTAATAATACCCGCAGAGAATTGCAAGTACAAATTAGAGTTAGTTAAGTTTAATTGCAAGTTTACCGTGTGTCAAAATCTTTCAAATAAAATAACTTGTTGACGAAAATAATTGTGCATCTGGATAGAATTAAAAACTTGGCATATAGATGTGTCTCAGACAAGTATGTAAATGATTATAGTTGTGGTCTGATTACACGCCAGCTAATATCACCAGAATGCTTTACAATTGCTATTCTGTTATCCTATAAAAAAAGTTTGTAAGGTTCACTGCGGTCAAAATTTTAGCGTACCCATTGTTTAGACATCCAAATGCTGGACGTGTCCATGTGATACGCTTGAAAGTTTTATGTATGGTCGTTGAAGTTTGAGAAAGTCCTTGCCGTCTGGGCTGTTCTTGCCCGACCACGAGGCTGTATCACCGAGAGCACACCAGTTCAAAGAACCATCTCGTACGGCCATCAGTTCTGTTAGTGGTAGGGACATACGTCGATTGCCCCTACCACCGAGTGTAGGCTTGGTGGTGCATTCGAAAAATCCTGCACCCTATCGTCATTGTGATGTTACTGCACTTTCCAGACCCGAATTTTCTTTTATAATTGAAAGCCACATTGCTCAATTCGGAGGGAGTTTGTAAGGCCGTGCATATACATTGAACATTCACAGACATTTATGTACATAATGTGTACTCATACATTTTTGCATGTCTTACAGAAAAAAAGAGGAAAGATTTTAATTTAAATCATTTGAAACTATTTTAATTAATCAGGTGGCACTTCCCTCTACTGCTGATTTACCCTATTTAATTTGGTTTCTTCTTGACAGATTCTTAGAAAATTAATAGTACTTACTCTTAGAATAAAATAACTGTTCTTAATTAATAGTTCAATTATCAAATTAACTGCAAAATGTTTCTAAAAATATTTCAATTAATTTTGCTGTGTGTATTTTTTCTTGAGGCTACTTTGATAAAATTCAGATATTAATTAATTGATGCATCTACAGATGTATGTTCTATAAGCTTGGATTATTTAATTCTGTCACACTCTTTTTTTTCCCCCCACCAAAGTATGAGGTTCCTTTGCATTGTGTGTCCTAGCTGGCACGTGATATCTGAGAATGTATTAGCTACATAGACAACAAGGCAAGAAATGTCTTTTCTAAGACGAATGGGAGTTTGATAAATATCTGTTGAGCTCAACAGACTCAAGGACTGACAAAACTAAGACCTCTCTCGGCTCCTCTCCTCGCGGACCTTTCCGTAGATTTCATTTGGCCAACTAACGATCTTCCACTTTTTGATTGGATTTTTCATATTGTCACAAGAGATTTGAGGGTATCCCGGGATCGATCCTTCTGTCCAAGAAATGTTTTAACCGAATGGACGAGAATCTGATGTCGATCAAAATTATGATGAATTTGTGGTGCCACAATGCGCATTACCATCTAGCATGACATTTATATAATAAATTGAGAACGTAATTCTACCATTAAAATTAACATTTTTTAAAATTCTAAGATTTTGGGACAAACTGTCAAAGATACGTAACCGCCACACAAATGTGGTGCAGACGATGGCCGAAGGTGTGATCGAGCTGAAGGAGTCCCATCCGGTAGACCAGCACGTGGAACGTAGCATCCAGTATTTTCTAGATCGATTTTACATGAGCAGAATATCCATCAGGATGCTCATCAATCAACACAGTAAGTTTTCTTTCTCTGGTGTTAGTTTTAAGAATGAAAGATTTGCGAGCCGTAATATACTTTTATATATTGGTTATCACATTAAAAAAAAACTTTGTTAGCAGGAAGGATGCTGCATTTGTAATTTTTAAGTTTCGAAAATTGTTTGTTCATATCTACAGCACTCAATCTCTTAAAATTTAGCGTTGTCTTCTTGAATTTTTATTTGTAGCGTTACTGTTCGGTTCAGAATTAAATGGCCATCCCCGTCACATCGGCAGCATCGATCCCAACTGCCACGTTTCGTCCGTGGTTGAAGGTGAGTTTCCTTAGGCAAACTGGCTGGCGCATCAGAGTATTTATTAATTGCATTTATTTTTCAGACGCCTACGAGAATGCGAAATTTCTCTGCGACCAATATTATTTGACATCACCGGATATCACCGTAGAGGAGCATAACAGTAAGTGTCTTTTGTTAATTACCCCAAAAAGAAACTGCAAATCTGAAGTGGACAAATTTATTTTAGTCCTGTCGCCGAATAGTCCGGTTTCCGTAGTATACATACCTTCGCATCTGTATCACATGGTTTTTGAACTTCTGAAAGTAAGAAATATTTCTTTTAAAAATTCATTAAAAAAAAATAATAATAATAATAGTAACTCATTCTTTAAGAATTCCATGAGAGCGGTGGTGGAACATCATGGAACTGCATGTGAAGCCTATCCTCCCATACATGTTCTCATCGTAGTGGGAAAAGAAGATTTAACGATTAAAGTAAGGAAGGGCATCGTTATGTAAAAATATGGTTGTCAATTGTTCGTAATTTAATAAGAAATGTTTTAGATTTCGGATAGAGGCGGCGGAATTCCTCACGGCCATGTTGATGCTCTCTTCCAGTATATGTACTCCACAGCACCTGTTCCTCCGCGATCGGGATCCAATTCCGCTCCTTTGGTAATTTCCAGAGTTTTACAAAGTGCCAAAAATTTAAAATGAGTAATTGATGTTTACTTTCTCCGCAGGCTGGATACGGGTATGGGCTCCCTCTTTCACGCCTCTATGCCAAATATTTCCACGGTGACCTGATCCTGTCCTCGTTGGAAGGTTACGGAACGGATGCGGTGATATATTTAAAGGTAAGTTTATTTTTGTTACCATAGAAAACTCCTTCTATTCTCGTGCTAATGCCAAGTGTACTTCAGGCATTGTGTGACGAAGCCAACGAACTGTTGCCCGTTTTCAATAAAACCACCAGCAAACACTATCAGGCAGTGGTCAACAGACACGACTGGAGCATACCCGTTCTGACTCAAAACGTTCCTTCGTCTCGCTGGTCCAATAATTGGCGACTGGGCCACCTGGCGGATCAGTCCACCGGAAATCGACCTCACCTGGCCGTCTAACATAGTTTGGGTTGTGGAAACTCTTATCTAATCTAGGACGTTTTACACCTCCGTATCCCAAAGTGTATAGTTTTTAAAACACTTTGTACGCATTAATTTTTTTATTTATTCTTTTTGTATTTTATTCTCGAACCTGGAGCCAATTGCCAAAGTAAAAAAAACGATTTGTCGTCGGCTCTTAAAATAATATACGTGCAATAGACAAATTGCAAATTAATAACAGTTTTGGCAACTGCAACGTTCGAGAATCAGACATCATAGCCGTTTGTTAATGCATAAATTTGTATAAACAAAATCCAACATTGTAATATAAGAAAATTGTTCTATAGTGTAAGTTACTGCAATATTTAATAAATGTGAAATTACAGATTATCGGCATTTCTTATCGAATCCATTGATTTTATTTTAAAAAGCCCATTGCATGCTACCGAACTTGGTGTAAAACAGTAGTAGTATATTTTGTAATTTTCTTGCCTGTTTAAAAAAAGTACGTAAAGGCTCCAGAAATATTTCTAATGAACAGCCACGGAGCTTCGAACGTATCTCCAATTTTCAGGTCTTTTCAATAAACCTTAAACGAGGATTTTAGTGTCTATGGGAATCGACCGGTCTAACTGGTGGCACTATATAATTTTATAATCTACACGGTACGTAAAACATAAGTAATTAACAGTTTAATCTTCCTTTGGACAACAATAATTTCCATGCAAGTACAAGGGCAGATTTTTTCAAGCTCCGATGGTCCATAAAATGAATTTATTACCAAAAGTTAGGTAGAAACATGGTTAGTTTTCGACGTAAGTTCCTCAATCTTCACAGTGATTGTCGTATCTGTGGATGAGCTTTTCCACCCCCAGTGAATTAAAATTGCCTTAACAATATTGTTTTGAAAATTGTCATTAGTCTCAAACCTCTGCCCTGCTAGCCACGTTTTCAGTTCAGGAAAAAGGTGAAAGTCTTCACACAATAAAAAGTTCCAAGCTAGGTGGAAGTCTTCACCACCTTTAAACACCCAGCTTATAGCCCAATTTAGCACCAAGTCACTTCCACCTCTTTCCTGAACTGAAAATGTAGCTAGGAGGGCATTAGGTTCGAGACTAATGACGCTCTTCAACACAACATTGTTAAGGCCATCTCAATTCACTGGCAGCAACATTCTATGAAGAGAGGATGGAAAAGCTCATCCACATCTGTGACAAATTCCACAATCTTCATAGTGATTATATTGAGAAATAACCATGTTTTTACCTAACCTTTGGTAATAAATCCATTTTGTTATTTACACTTGTCTTTTTTTTTATAGACCACCAGAGCTTAAAAAAAAAACAGCCTATGTATTATGCCATCGATAATGGCAAATTATGCAAGCAATGGGTTAATTCAAAGTTAGTAAAATTAAAAGGTATTTACAAACTCCATTTAAGTGAAAAAAAGCCTTGCTTTCTCCACAAAAATCGACAATTAGCACGATACTAATCTGGACAAATTGTTGAATCTGGTCTATAAAGATGAGGATATTTGATGTAATTGTTGAGGGTTTTTTACAATCTATTCCTTTAAGGAAGAGTGGCCAAAATATAGTTATTTATTGAACTATGGCGATCCAGATTACTTTTTGATAAGAACAATGCCACAAATTAACTGGTAAATAAAACAATGCTTGTCATGCAAATAAGTATGCCAAAGGAGAGTAAAACTTACTTTTCACAGAACTAATTGTCGGGGATATGACATAAATAAGAATGGGTCACAGTATCAGCCTGTACTGTGGAGGAAAAACAATCTGTTTTTGATCGGGACTGTACTACAGAAAATGCAAGCGTTGTTTAAATTCTTAACACTTTGTATTTCAAAGAAAAATATTCTCACAGATAAATGTCCGATTGTTGGTGAAAGTGTGCATTTATAAATTATATTGCACGCACTTGAACTTTATTTCTAAAACAAATCTTTAATCTTTATAACAAACAAGTCAATGATAAACATTTGAATTTTGAACAACAAAACGACGGAACCGCAGATTGCGGCAATTGGGGTGGACGGGTTCATAGTCGATTTCTTCTCGGGTTAAATCCTGGCAAACTGTACCGTGTATTCTTTTTAGTGAGCAATTTATGGAATGTAATTTCTTCTTTACATTACTTTCAAAGTATCCAGAAACAAATTAGAATGCCAAATCTTACAAATGAAAATGTCTGTTTTAGGAGAAGGCTAGTATATTTGTACGGCTTTTGGCTCGACTGGCAACCGGACTTTCAGAAGTAAATTGGTCGTCGACAAAAAGCCAATTTTGCTGCAATAAAATATATAGCACGAAACAACAAATTTGATTCTAACATTCCACTCTGCACCCTTCATATTCCTTTAACTGCAGTTACAAATGGCATATAAAAATATTTCGATACGTGGTAATCCGCTTTCTGTTGTCTTACGAAAACAATAAATGTGTGCCAAGCTTTTTAGGTGTCTAATTCTTCGCACCTCAAATGAAAAATATGGCCACGAACATTTGGCCGGTAAAAACGAGATTGTAACTAATTGCAAGGTGGCCAGGCTCTAAGACAGTTTGTGATAGGTGCTGCTCGGACTGCAAGAAACTTTCGAATGATGCGAAACCGTGCAGCAGTGAGAGATGACACCGCGGGCTTGTGTTCCGCAAAAGGGAGCCAACGAATTCCCTCCCACTGCCGCATCCGGGAGTGTAATTGCGGGAGTGTGTTCTGCCGGTCCTCTCCTCTCTTGCGGATTTGAGCTGCGTGGAGTGGTCCACACGGGAATCAGCAACCAGGCCTCGTCCCTACCATGCCCGTTCTTGGCGATGACCATGTTTCCTCCTGCAGAAATTGAACGGAACTTGCCTGAAAAGAAAGCAGCACATAATAAATAATTTTTGAGAAACTTAAGCTAAAATAACACAAGTTTTAGATATTGAATGTACAAATTCTAAAAACCTAAGATTATTGCACTTTTGAACATATTCTCTTTTTGTGGAGGGGCCAAACGAATTGAAAAATTTAGCATTATAAAAGGTGCTTGTAAATGAGTCCAATGGGTTGTTGTTAAGCTAATCGCTGTGAGCAGTGCTTCTAAATGTTGCTGCCGAGTGTTTTGCTAAACTTGTTTTCTTGAAGAACTGCATGCAGCAAACTCCTCAGCAATTTCACTAGTTTGAGGTTAAATTTGCAGCAATTGAGTGATGTGCTTTTTCTGCTTTAACAAAATGGCTGCCACCACGATGGACTTCATCGAGGTTGTTTACAAAAATATAAAGATTGAATTACAAGTTGATTCTTCTATAAAACATCATTTAGAAAATGGTAAGTTATTGTTTTTCATAATGCGTTATTAATTACACCAGTGTTTCTCAACGGGGGTGATATGTGGGCGTTTTTCCATGTTGAGGGGGCGATTTGTAACAATTTATATTTTGGGGGCAAAAAACAATTTTCTGGACGATATAGAAAAACATTATATTAAGAATAATTGGATATTTTATTCGTTATATCGTACAATAATTAAACAAATAACATTATACTAGTTACTGGTCTATTCAATGCAGTACAAATTTGGCGTTAGCCTTGTCCCTCGGCATTGGAATTTTGTAGTGAAGGGGGCAACGATTCATTAAGAGGTTGAGAAACACTGAATTACATGAAATAAACTTGAAATTCGCACAAATTATATATTAAAGCTTGTGTAAAAATAACCATAACAACATATCTTTTACATAATTGGTTTGATAAATTTTAACATTATGCAAATAATAATTAACTTTCTATGCAATATTATAGGCTAATACTCTAAAAGTAATTCCAACGTGACATTATTAAGAATTGCTGTAAACTAGGCTATATCTTTAGCAAATTGCTATGAATGATATAAATAAAGGCTTACATATCCTTTAATTTATGGGACTTTATACACGTGTATTTTCCAAAAAATGCATTTTGGACTTATAGTCCCTCATCAGTTAGAACATAATATTCAAGTGTATATGATAAGCAATTTATTACTCCTTTTGATAAAGGATAACTTGCATAGTTAAAATTACAATTAAATTGTATAAATTAGTTTTAACTGTACAGTGGTACCTCAGGATACGAAATTAATCCGTTCCGAAACTGAGATCGTATCATGAAAATGTCGTAAGGTGGATCATCTTTTCCCATACGATTACATGTAAAACCAAATAATTCGTTCCAACGCGAAAAACATACTCAAATTAAAGCCAAGTAATACATTTAAAAAAATAACTGTAGTAAGAAAAACAAATGAAAAATGCGAACTAATGTAACGTCGTATGGTGAGTTTTTGTTCGTATCGTGGAGCAAAAATATGTTCAAATTTCATGTCGTATCCTGAAAATTTCGTATGCTGGGGCGTTCGTAACCTGAGGTACCACTGTATTATGAATTGGAGAGTATGATAAGCCTTTATTTATAGCAATAATAGTTAACTATATAGCCTAGTTTAAAGTAATTACAAAAGGAGTTAGTTCCTATTAAACAACAGAAGTTCAAGTTATTTTATGGTTTTCAGATCATGATTTCATTTCTCATGTCTTTGAAGAACTTATACATAAGAGGGGGAATAAGAGAATAAATTGGTCTACCAGAAGACGTAGACGTTACTTTAATAAGACTTGTCAGCAAATCACGAGGAAGGAGAATCAGGTATGTATATGTTTATATACAAGTATATACTAATACACTATAAATAATAGTTTTTCTTTCATATTGTCGCAGGAGATTTCTCTTGGACTGATGCATCCCCACGTCTATTGATAATAACAAGACTAAAGATGGACAACGAATTCAGGAAACCAACGAGAAAGACAAAATTATGGGATGCAATAGCAAAAAACTGGAACTTCTCCCAGTGACTCTGATAAAAATGGAGAAATCTAAAGACAACATACAAAAGAAATAGGGATAAAGTAAAAACACATACTGGAGAATCTGCCATCACCTGGCCATACTTTTAAGTTATTGGACCAAGAACTTGGATGTAGAGTGGCCATCAGTCCTCCAGAAGAAAATATTATTTCTTCTGAACCATGTGTGGACCAGATCCCATTTGTAAGGACTGTCTGCCCACTCTGAGGGTAATGTGGCAGGAGTTAATTCTGAAGTGCAACCCCCTTCAGTAAAAGCATTTCGAAGTCACATAAATTTAAAGAGAAAGGGAAAAGAAAATCTGCCAGAGTGGTTTCAAGCTTGGGCCAGTAAACAACAGCAAGAAAGAAAAGATCAGTGCTGGCAGGAATTCAAAGAGCTTGAAGCAAGAAAAAGAAAGTGAAGAGAAGAGAATGACCACAATGAGTGCTCTTCTAAATGTTTTACAAAGAATTGCAGAGAAATAAAATAATATGTGACAGCAATCCGGCTAAAAAATAACCAATTACCATGGACAGATTATTGTAGCAAATATGGATGTGTGATCAATAATAATATAAAAATAATCCACAAAGAAAAAGATAAGTATTTACGAAGGTTCAAGGAATATTTTGTGATTGTAAGTGCACACAACACCATTAACTTAAATAATGGGATGGAGATAATAGTGAGGTTGGGGACAAAGTTTTAAATGCAAAAACATGTATGTCGGATGTTCAGTGCCACTTTCCTGTAAGCCTAGAAGTTTGACAATGGTGTTTGGAATGTCAAGCATGATTCCACTGACTATCTAAATACCATTGTCAAGCTTCTAGGCTACAGGAAAGCGGCACTGAACCTCTGACATACACGTTTAAAACTTCAGCCTCAACCTCACTAATGATGTGTGGGCAGAAGTGGTAAGGGCAAAATAGCACGTAAACAGACAAAAGCTGTTAGAACGATGCCTTGAGTGCTGTATGTTTTAGCAAAAGAGGTTAGATTGTCATTTTATAAATCATTTGAATGCTGTAATTTGTAATAATTTTGTAAAAACTGTGTGTTTCCCTATTGTAATTATGTATTACCTGAAGAGGGTGCATGTGTAATGCATTGTATTGTAATCCTTAGTAGTTTTATCTCCGATAAAATGCAGTTATAGCTAAAAAACAACAGTTGTCTTCTGTATTAACCTTTGAAGTTTTTTAATCTTTTTGAGAGAGATGATCATAAATATGTGGTTGAAAATAAAGTTAGGCACTGTAAAGCAATTTCTCGAATTTTAGGGAAAGAAATAGCTTTTTGGTTCCAAAAAACTTTAATTCCTGTCTTGAATGTATCCTTGCAGTTACTATCATGTTGCATTTCAATTAACTCTTCTTGTATTTCATCCGTCACCTCAGAAATGTTGACTACGAAAGGATTGCAAATCAGTTTCCAAATACCTTTGTCCTTGTAGTCAGGAAAATAGCAATTGAATTCATTTTTCAAGCTTTGCAAATGGAATTTAATGTTCTTTTGTCCTTTAATCTCGGCACACTGTCAATCAATAATTGGGTTCAATGTATCAAACGCAGAAAAATTCTGTCTTTCGACTTTGCTGATCCATAGGTCGATTTTAGTGATAAACGCGCCGATTTTATCTTCAAATGCAAATTTATTGCTAGTGACTTCCAGTTTCATATTTTCTGACCGCGGACCATACCCCAGCCCAGTCCACTATTGGCTCTAACCTTGATGTACTGCACATTGTCATCAATGCATCGTCATTTATTTAATAATTTTGGGATAACTTTCGCGGACCACTTCGGATGCTTTCAGGGACCACAGGTTAAGAATCACTGCACTAGATTATCACTTTCCTGTGAATTGTCTCCTGTCTCTTATACTACTACTGTTTTGTAGTCTCATGACACTGTAAAGATAATCAGCAATAGCATCCTTCTTATTATTTGCTGCATTAGTTGAATGTTGGCTTGAGTGAGCCTGAAAAGAGGTTTATCCTCATCTGGACTAACATCACTTTGTAGAATACAAAGATTATGTAAAACACAAGCAGTAAGAATAATTTTAGTCAAGTATTGCTTGTTTCTTACAAACTAAAATTTCAGTTGACAAAAGTGTCCAAACAGATCACCATATGCTTGTTCTATTACTATGCAAGATGAACTTAGTCTTTTATTAAAATATTTCTGTTTGTAATTCAATGTCCATTGTTCTTGTAAGGAACTATCAAATATGTCTCTAGTGGGTATGCTGGGTCCCCAAGTAAATGGCAGTTCTCTGGGAGTGGGGGAGTTTTATTTGATAACCCAATCCCTACATCACTATTTTGCCACACCCTTGCATCGCGTGCAGATCCCGGCCAGCCAGCATAAACTGCAGTAAACATTTTGTCATTTCTGCAGATCCCTTGAAGTATGATTGTAGTATTTTTGCTTTTCATGATGACGAACTGTTACTTGTGTTAATGTCTCATCAACACATCCAAAGACTCAAATTGGAAAAAGACTCAAAGATACAAATTGGAAAGCTGTTTCTGTCCCTTAATGATGAAAAGTTTTTTACCACTTCTTGGGTATCCTTATCAACTGGTCAAATTTCTTTTAAATTACAAACACCTTTACAAAACACTATGAACAGCCTGTGAGCCTGTTTATCTAGTCCAAAACAGTCAATGACCCTCTAGGATTTCAGATTTCTTAAAATACATAAGGACAGTACAACAGCCTTTTCTTTTACCTCCATAACGCATGACCGTCCAATTATTATTATTATTTCTTTTAAATTCAGAATCTGGCAAAGGTATTTGATGCTTTTATGCTGAAGTCACCTTTAAAATCCAGATTGTTGTATTGAGGAATAATTTCCTCATAATAATTTTGTATTCTGGCTTTTTTCTATGGCTGTACCACAACAGAACTTGCCATTCCAGCAATTACTTAGTCGTCATGTTTACACTTCCTAAACAAGACATTACATTACAAAAATGAATTCCTTTTAAAATTTTTCGAATTGAATAATTTGCTAAACATTCCAACAGTTGTAATGAGCTGCCATTTTGGAACTGTAGTGCTGTCCCTTGTGCATTGTCAAAAGACCATCAGCAGTCTTGCAGTCTAAGCGGCAGTGCTGCGGAGCAGCATTGAATTTAACAATCACCCACAATAGAGTCTTAATAAGGGAACTTAGCTCCCATACCAAAGAAACTGTTAGGTTTTACTGTATTTTAATACTTACGTAAACCAGAATGGCACAGTGTTTTAGCAGGTTTTGATATTTTATACTAATCTAATAACTGAATTAAATTAGTTGGTAAAATTTTAAGATTCCAACTTATACAGTAGAGCCTCGAAAACTCGGCCTAATGTGGACTGAAGGGTGGCCGAGTTTGTGAAAATGCCGGGTTATCGGGAATGGGGTTAAAAAAAAAGATAAGCATGCGTGTTTCCTCAGAAAATATTGTACTGTACTTGTATGTATTGTTTGCTTGAGAATACAACAGAGAATAAACTGCCCAAATACCCTTAAACAAAGGAAAAGTACGTCCTTTATGAAGGCATAGAGCCTTTACTACATGAAAATGAAAATTAATGAATACACTGTGTACAGTAATTTACCTGATAAGACAGACCTCAGAAAAATACTTTGAGGCATAAAGCTGTCTATAATGAAAATTAATTATCTAAGGGTATTTTTGCCCTGCCAAGGTGTGGCCGAGTTATCCGGAGTGCCGAGTTTGAGGCTCTACTGTATTATGGTAAATAATTTTGTCATTTTAATCTTTTGTTGCACAGACTACGATATTACTTTACTGTCTGGCCAACCTGGAAAGGCATTCACCTCCCTTAGACATTGGACTAGTTTACTAACTGTTAGCAGGAGTGAGGTATTAGCACCAGTTAATGTACTGTACAGTACCTTGTGTTATGTGGGTTAAACGAGATGGTCAGTGGAGAATTCTGGAAAAGATACTCAAAAAATAAAAACACATATATACTAGGTTTAATTTTTAAATCTAATTTTCATTTATAGTAAACATAAATTTCTTTAAAATTTGTGACCCTAAAAAGGACCATACTAATATTGTTTAATGCAGAGGAAATATAGTCACAGTGAAGCTTTTCTCGACACTTCTCTCTTACAGTAGAACTTGTCTCCACTGAGTGTCTTCCAAGATTCCATTTTCATTCATTTTCACAGACTTCAAGTTAGTTCTGTCCAGTCAAAATCTACACAATGTGGTGACAGCTGTAGAATTTCGCATCTACATTGTGTAGCAACTTTTTCCAATTTGTAATTTTTTTAAGCTGCTATTCTAATTTCGTTAAATGATGGAACTGCAATGTTTTCTTTTACTATCCAATCACGTACAGTCGAAGCTGTCTATCTCAAATCGCTTTATCCTCTGCATTTTCAGCATAAATTGGAATATATCGAAGTTTATCTGGAATAATTTTCTCCCAAAACCTCTGTCCCAAATTATGGACTGAAGAGTCAATTACAATTTCGTAAAATTATTAAAATCCACATTGTCGTAAGTCTGGCACAAAACAATTAATAGTTCCCGAAGAAATTATTACGAATTATTTCCATTACTACATAATCCTAATACCCGTATGGCTACTTTGACTGCATTCTGTTCCAATCTTATTTGCTGTTACAACTTCTCCTTTTTCGTCACCTTCTCTTTATTTTAACAATGTTTAAATAATCCTTTTAGGCACACTTGTTGCTGCAACTCTTCTTTCTACTACTTTATCCAATGGCACTAATAATTTTTGATAGTGTTTTTCTTCAAAAAATCATTTACTTTTTACTGCTGGGTTTCCAATGTACTAAAAAAATTCACAAAATATTTAATTAAAAATCATTCTGTCACGCAAAATGTATATCAAAAAGTCAATAGTTTTTAAGTAATGTATAATTTGGAACTTTTTCTATTTGACAAAATAATTGTTTCCTTGATAATTTAGTTAGGATTCTAGAAGGTGCAAAACTTTGGCTTTGTGGTTCTGAAATATGCCAAAATGCAATTATTGCACACGATCTACTTTTTTGAAAGTTTCGAATCTTAAATAGTTGCTTTTAATCCAAGACGATGTAAACGGTGTCTAAATGTTAATAGTAAAAATAAAATAGATGTAACATAATGCAAAGACTTTGAGTAAAATAAAAAAAATTTAACAGATACCATTTCTTTTTGTTTACTTAAGATAACTAACCTGCAATCATGTGTAATAGTGGCAATTTTTCACACCTACTACTGTGTTTTCTCGAAAATAAGACCAGGTCTTTTATTAAGTTTTGCTCCAAAAGAACACATTAGGTCTTATTTTCGGGGGATGTCTCGTCCAAACATTCTTGCTTGGGTATTTACAAATACTTTATAATTAAATATAATTCAATACATCCATTGTGGGTTGCAACAGATGTATGAAATATCTGGCTGACGATCTTAATTGGGGCTCATATTACAAGTATCCCAAAAAAATCATGCTGGGGCTTATTTTCGAGGAAATATGGTAGCTTTTTCACCAAATTGACTGACTTAGTTGTTCTTCCGTGATATCTGTGCAAAATTTTTCCTCTTTTTCACAGGCTCTGAAAGACCGCTGCAGAAAATTGCTGCCTTACATTTGATTGTGCACAATTTTTCTGTCACACGATCACACACACGAGGTGGCGATCTTTCTGCTCTTGGTTTTTGACGACGTTGAGTCATCAGAAATGATGCGGAGGGCCGATGCAATTGCTGCGAGAGACAATTGCGATGTGGTGGATGTCTGTCGGCTATACACAATGTAATGGCATGGCAGTTTACAAGTCACTACAATCTCAAATGACTACCTTTGCAAGATAGCCTGAGTCACTATGACCTTCGACAATTTGTTGTTGTTGTGGCTTTATTCTGTACCCAAAAGTGCATTTCTCGGGAGGACCAGAAAATGATTTTTCTGTTCTTCCATTTATTTCCAGCCAAACTCATTCCATATTAGCCCCACACTCATAAAATTTGAAGACGATACTGTTCTAAAATCCTGCAGACTGTACTGTACGTATTATTCTGTAAACAGAACAATAGGTGTTGTACATTTAGTTTATGACAGTTTTCTCTGGACATACCAAATTTCACATTTAAAGATTTTGAAAAATCCTGTAATTTGAGTAAAATATGCAGAGAGTAATTAAGCCACCTTATACGTGCGATTGTGGGACGGAATACTAAAAAAAATCTCAATCTCTCTCTTGCTTATGGTTAGAGATATTATTAAGATAATTGTTAACTTATAGGAGCCATTCAAATATTCATACATTAGTGAATATTAAGTGAAATAAGCCTATCGACACACAAAATTTTGAATAGTTTTTGCTCGCCGAATGTTTAGAGGAGAAAAACCGGCAAATTAGATACTTCCTAAAAATACTCTCGTATATTATAGATAAATGTGTGATTGCTCTTAATTATCTGGGGCATGGGAGGATCAAAACAAATGCCTGTTCAAATACATTGATTTAAAGCTAGCTTGCCAATCGGTTTCAAGAACTATATCTGCTTCATTTCAGTTTACTTAAATTTCAAAAAATTTTATGGTTACATTATTCTTTAAATAAGTTTAAGTATCAGAGTAAAATGTCTTATTAAAAGATTCATTTTATCACTTCTTGCGTATAATATAATTAAACTGTTATTGATCAAATATACAGGGTATCCCAAAAGTTTCCATACATACAAAGGTGATATTAGAATCATGAAGAAAACTCAGAATGCTGCATGGTGGCCATCCCATTGGTCAGGCACAAACCAATGACAAACTACCAGTACCAGTGTTCAATGGTTTTATTTATTTGGCCACTGGTGGGCTTGATTTGTGTCACTGAAGAAAACTTTTGGGATACCCTATATATAAAATTAATGCTATTATTATAAGAAAAAACTCTTACTGTCGTCGGAAGCGATGCCCATGGTCAAACCAAATGAGCTAAGACGTTCTTCGTTCTTGGGGTAGAGGACGGGCTTGTGTTTGCATCTGAAAATTTTCGCTAATTTAAACAGATGATGCAGAGGAATAAGAGGATTCTTTACATTCAGAATCTCTTCGTTGTGAGGTGGTCTGACAGAAATTATTTTTGCCATTTTGTCCTCGACGTGACAAAGATCAAATAATTTCAAAAATTTGCATTTATCTTCAGTTATTAATTTATTATAATCCAAACTGCTTTTTGTATCAGTACTATCAAAATTATTTTCTTGTAAAAAACTCAATGTGCAAACATTAACCATGTTTCCCATGCCGGAGATCGGTCTCGACGTACAGGTGGTTTCAGAAATACTTTTCCCACGTATGTCACAAGAAAAATTATTTAAACCAGTTGTTTTATAAGATTCATTGCCATGGAAGGACGTGTTTTTAGTGGTAATATTAGTCTTTTTATGGGACTCGTCGGTTTTGGAATAATTGTTAAAAAGCTTGTCGTTCGAGACATTATTATGCTCAAAGATCTCCGTAGTTGCTTTCTTAGTAATTTCGTCTAGAGATAGCGAATGGAATACTTTTTCGCCATATTTTTCAGAAAGTTTTACCAATTCGCTAAAAGTTAAACTTTGTAAATTTTTCTGGTCTTTCATATCCAAAATATCTGTTAAGGCAATTTTTGAAGAATTATCCACACTATAGATTGCTTTTTTACAATTTCTTCCATCAAACGTCGAATAAATTTTATATGGTCTGTTATTGTCGGAGGTTTTCTCCCGACATTTCTGTTCACAACACGATTCAAAATTTTTAAAGTCAGTAAAAGCAAGGTTTGTTTTATTTGATTTTGCTCTTTCTTCCACTTGTAAATGCACTTTGTTACAACTCAAACGTTTTGCTTTTGAAGATGACACACAGTTTAAACTTTGAACTCCAGTTTGGCGATGTTTGAATTCATCCACCTGTTTCGTTCGGGGAGCAATTTTCCGATATTTTCTTAAAACGGCCAAAGTTTTAGGATGCAAATTACCCGAGGGAGAAAGTTTGCGTCCACATTCTGGTTCTTCTGTACCCGTCGTAATTATCTCTTTGCAGATATATTTAGTATTTTGAATGCTTTCACTATTTAGATTATCTGCATTTGACACAATCTTTCCTTTCTTCAAACCCGGATCCACCAAATTATTTGTATCTAGCCGAAGATTACTTTGATTTTCTGGAACGACATTGGTCCAAATTGATTTGTTGTTTTCAGAAATATTGTCTGTCGTGTGGTTGATGTTATCATCGTCACATTTAACAAACTGTTTGGCATTATTGTTCAAATCGATTGCTACTTTCTCTTTGGGCACATTTTGCACTAAAGAAGTATTGAAATTCATGTTTTCGAGTTTTAAGATATTGTTACCTTTTCCTGTTAAAATTACATCCTTTAAATTTGGACAGCAACGATCATTATTGCAATAATTTGGCGGTACGAATTGCAGTAATTTTTTCACTGTTTTCTTGCAGAGAACGAATTTCTTTTTCCCACTTTTCTTTATGGTAAAAAAGTCTCGCGATTTATTTACAGTCTCTGGCAAACATGGAGAAATTTTAACAAAAGTTTTCAGTGTTTTTTCATATTTTGAAACTTTGCAATCCATTGCTGACAACAAAGGATTTGATTTATCGTTGATACTGTTTTCCACTTCTTCCCGTCGAAAGCTCGAAAGTAATGAAGACTGACCATTATCGGACGTGTTTGAACATTTGGCTAAGTTATGGGTCTTTTGAAAAGATAAATTATTTACATTTTTGGTTATCACAGAATGTACCACATCAATATTAGTGTTTGATTTTCCAATTTCACAGGAACTATCTTCACTTTTTACATTTTCTCCATAATTACAGTTGTAAATGTCACTCTCTTCAGGATTAACCTGCTCTTTCAGACAAACTAGATTATTTGAATTATTTTCAAAGTTTGGACTAGTGTGTAATTTATTGGAAATGCAAAGTCTTTTGCACTCAACATTTTTCGAATTTGACAAAATTCTACGCCTTTTCAACAGTCTTCCGACCCATTCGTGGCCGTCAGGCTGATTCATTAGAAACTCCTCTGCGTCCACCCTATTCTGACTGCAAAACAAGTTAACTAGGTAAACTGGCAAACAATCGTTCTTGGTTAGTAAGGCTACATTTTGAGGTTTTGGAAGAATCGGCTGTAATCTGAGGTAATCTGTTAAAGAAAAATTATTACTCATTAATACAAAATAAAATATAAAAATACGGTAGAGCATTGATTATTCTAATACTGATCAACCGAAACATCGGTTAACCAAAAGCATTCCAATCGGCAAATTCAAATTTCTGCTAGTGCTGTGGTGCTGCAGCACTCCCTCTCCCTGCCAACCTAAACTGTAGACCTACTTTAATGTACTACTTTATGTAAGGTATGTATTTGTAAGATGTATGATACAAAATATATACAGTACAGTTTTGTGTTTAATATATTTTTTTGTAAATTATCAATTATCCGAACAACCCCAGTCCCAAACTGTTTTGGATAATCAATGCTCTACTGTAAAATATGTTAAAATTTGCATAGTAGCTATTAATTAATGGGTGATATACAGGTAACCCCCGTATAACACGGGAGTTACGTTCCAAAAAATTGCCGTGCTATGTGAATTCGTGTTATACAAAACAAAGAACTAGTGTGAAAAGGGGGGTTAGGTTCCAAAAATTAAAAAACATGCTGTTAAATCCTTACTTAAATCAGATTTATTATTCATTTTTTTTTTATAGGTAAAATATTCATTTATTATTTAAGTAAATATTTTACCAGAGGATTATTCATTTTATATGATTATCTCAGCATGAGCATCATCAACTGGTAACAGTTTGTGGGTGCGTTCGTTAATAGAGGTCGCTCTGCAACAGGAGTGCGCTGCTGTTGTAGGCATTTAGGAACGACGGTGAAAGAAAGATGGCGGTGTCCGCACTATCAATAGTATCGTGTGGAGGAATCTATAATTCTAAAATGAGCTTTTAGAGGCAAATGAAGTGTGCCAATTGTAAAATTTAACCATTAAATGGATTATTTGTTGAAAGAACATTCAAAGTAGCCACAAAAACAATTAGAATGCTCGCATGGAGTTATACAGAGGTATAAAAGAATGCACCCTTCATTACATTTTATGTTGTACGAGGGTTTTACCCAATTTCCGAACCATGTTAGAGTGAACCCGTGCTATAACAGCATCGTGCTATACGGGGGATGTTCTCAATTCTCAAACCGTGTTAGAGTGAATCCGTGCTGTAGAAGTGACATGTTATATGGGGGTTACCTGTAATTAATACCTTTAAACTAACACTGTTATATTGAAATGTGACAGTCCGGATGTAGTGAACTTTTTCTATAAACTTTTATGCTCGTTTTTAAAATAAATGAAATAACACTTAAATTCATGGGAAGAAAATTCTACTTTTTTTCTCAACACTTAATAAAAAAAAATTGGAAGGATATGATCATATCTTTCACTGGATTCACTTCCCTTCAGAGGTGACACCACTTCCTAATGTGTCACCAAGAATCAACAATTGGGCTGTTGCAGAATAATTCCCAATACAGTCAGGGGAAAACCCAGGACAACCCCCTAACAAAAAGAAGGGGTCAATGAATCAAAGTTCGGCTTCATCGAGTTTTTTTGAACTGTGAATGCTCGCTGATATCAGCCGTAGCCACTCTGGAGAGAAAAAGGACTTTCCCCTCCTAGAAGCTTCTTCAAAACGGACCTTCGAATCTGTGAATACGACAAACAAGTCCTACAACTAGCCTCCAATAACCAAGGTATTTATCAATGCACAAATGATTGCAAGCTCTCTCTCCGTCAGGGTCGCATCTTAATAATAAGGTTTACCCTTTCTCTATATGTTGTATAACTAGTATCCGCTAAGCATCTAAACTGATGTCTGTATACAGCTTTGTAAATAACATAGATAAACATATGGGTATTAGTTAAATCAGCGCTGTCCAACTTATCATAGTCCGCGGGCCATATTTTCTTCACCAAACATTTCGGGGGCCAAGAAGGTTGATAAACCACACGACATTTGCATAGTGCTACGGTTCAGTAAGCACTAATTGGTCAGCGAGTCCGATGTTGACGCTATAAAAAGGCGACAGTTTGACACACCGGATATACGTCACTCTCGTCAAAGTTCGACTTGGGAATTTTTTGTTCAATAATAAATGTGAATTCTTCTTCCTGGAAAAAATAAGACATTCCCTGAAAATAAGTGTCTTATATTAATTTTTGCTCTGAAAAATGCGCTAGATCTTATTTTCAGGGAAACACGGTAGTAAAATAATTTTAATATTAATAATAATAATTTAGTAACATAAATTTATTCATAGTAAAATGTACTCGCGGGCCGTAAAAATTATTTGGCGGGCCGTATACGACCCGCGGGCCGCCAGTTGGACAGCGCTGAGTTAAATGATAGATTTGCGGAGCATACTTCTTCCATTTGTCTCCAGCCATGACTATCGCGATTTCTGTGTCCATTAAGACACGGTGGTGTCAGTCTTGACAAGGCATCAAAGAGGTGTCACAATCCTGTGGTCACAGAAATGCTAATGTTAACAAAATTTTTAATAATTTATCATCATAACTGTCCTATAGTATATTTAAATTGAGAAATTGATAAAGTTTCACTAAATTAATCTGAAGTTGAGGATAAATACACTCATTGGCATAAAATTAACAGACCGAGGAGTTGTTGTCAGAATCAAATGAAAATTGTAAGTGTGAGTGTAACTGATTACAAAATAAAGGCAAATGGATCATTTATTGCAGAAATAAAATTGGCAATGAGTTGCTAGACTTTCCTGGCAACATTTCAAAATTTGGGGCACCATAGTTAAAAATATAAAGTTTAAAAACTTTAAAACTTTATAATAGTTAAAAATATAAAATGGCAAAAAGCTTGATTTTGAGGGCAGGGATGGATTTTATGAAAAAAATTGTAAATGCTAACATTGAGTAAAATCCTCATTAAGTCAGACCCTACTGGAGATATGCACAACCCGTTATCTCCCCACTCCCTCGATCTTTAACCACCAAAATTTAATAGCATCAATCCTCCTAATAAACAAACTCCTTGCAAAATTTCAGCAATTTTCAACAAAAAGCATGGGAGCTTCAAACAAGGTAAACAAAATTGTGCCCCGCCATACACTATTCCCTGATTTTTTTTCATTTCTCAACATTTCAAGATGTCCTAAGTCCAAAAACAAAAATCTGGGGGGTCATTTTTTGCTGGATCGCCAGACTTTCCCTCTGTTATAACAACCAGGAAAGTAAAAACTACAAATGAAAGTAAGTTCTAATACCCCATAGAGCCACCTCTAACATGAATACATAATGTGACATGGGTGGGCATGCCATATGGTGTCCTGTGGCATCTCAGTCCACAGTTGCTGTAAGTGATCCTCTAGTTCACCCAAACTCCTAGGTTGTCCAACTTGGCATCTGGGTGATCCCAGACACATTTGATAGGTGACAAATCAGGGGACCGGGCATGCCAGGAAAGTGTGGCTATGCGGTGGAAGCAGTCTTGTGACACCCTTGCCACATGTGGTCGAGCATTGTCCCATTGGAAAATGGCTCTTGCGAGCCCTTCAACTGGCTGTACGGCAGTGGGCTGCTCCAAAGCATAGGCAGGATTGAGGCATTCATCATGGGACTTCCAGACACAAACATGGTCATTGTCAATGCCCAAACTGAATTTGAATTTGTTGCCGTAAGCGACCCGGTTTCATTCTGTTGTTGTCCAATCCCTTCAATCTTTCCCTATTTTCTTTCCCTCCCTACTTACTATAACTTCCTCTTCTAATTTCAATTTCATCACTTCTAATTTCTTAGAGGTAAAGTCTGTGCACATACAGACAACCCCTCTACTCTTTTAATGTAATGTAATGTAATGTAATCCCCTTGGGAGTGATACCACTCCAAATAGAGATACCAGTGGATGGCTGTCGGTGGCAGCACACACAATGGCTGCTGTGATACCAAATGTTCCTCACCCAGGCACCTCAAAATGGTACAGACAAACATGGAGAGCCTGTAATGATGGCATAACCTGTGTCCAGATGATGGATGATACGGTTGGCCGTGTGCATGCTTGTCAGTGGACCGGCAGTATGCCAAGGCATCCCGAGTCTGGGTGCTGCATGTGTGTGAGCTTTCTCTTGTCCACTGGTCCCAACACTACCTCGCAGTGTTGTCAGACCAGTCTAATTTGGCAAGATGACCATCCAGCTTCTATCAACCCTATGATCTTTTCCCTCTCAAATTTGGTTAGTTACTCATATGGTATGGTTTTCAATTGTGATGTAAAAACAATTCTAGTGATACAGCAAGTAAACTACACATAGAATGCCTTTGCATGCTTTTTTATAGGCCAAGGGGAATGAATTTTAATGCCATCTGCTGATATTATGCAATGAGTCATCATGCCATAACTAATCATTTCCATATCTGCTTGAGACTTATCTACATGTCAAGTTTTGCAGTGATACAAAAACTCCTTCTTGGTGTTCTAATTTTTATGGCAATGAATGCAATTTTTATCCGTACTGTACTGTACACTTAAGTTTATTTAAATTAACTCTTGTTACTCTATTTAAAATATTCATATAACTTTTAAGTCTTTAGGACATTCTACATTAATTCAAAAGTGAGTATCTATTATTTATGCAGGGTGAAATGTTTCAAAAACTTTTTCAAATTTTAAACAAAACTAATAATTTCCTTGGATAGAGCAAAGTACTTCTGATCTTGAATAAGGCAAGAGCCCATTAACATTACATATTAGAAGATTATATCAGTTACAAGAAATATCTTAACATCTGGAGAATAATGTGAAAGGTTATCTTTATACTATAGAATAATCTAATATAGTTCAATAATTATCTTGACAATGAATAATAATCACATTAATGTAAATAAAAAGTGATATTATTCTACTCTACAGATTTATTAGAATATTCTAATAAAGCACAGTACAACTCAAACTTTTAAAATTGCAGTTTACAGGTTCTATTAAGGTTTGAATGGTAGTATTATAGTTTATGATGAATGCAGTTTTGTTGTAAAGTATTCTAATAATATATTTAAACAAAATTCAAACTTTATATTAAACCTGAAACCTTAAAAATGAAGAGAGAGCCATTAAGTCAAATGCAAAATATAAAAAAATTGTGTGAACAACATAAATTTAAAATTTTGTAAGAGAAGCCCTTTAATTCTGTGTAAAGGCAATCAAAAAACCAGTTTAGACTCATTAACCTTTAGTCTATGGAGGAACATTCCAGTTATTTGGTTGATTCACAAAACCCAATTTGACAGTTACCAACTTTCAAATATTGATGCTTCCTTCCAACACAAAGATTACATGTGATTTGCTCGGTTGGCAGATTATTGCATATTACTAAACAAGGAATTTTATAATTTTATTTTTCAAACGACTGATTTAAATTGCTGTTCCACGAATCTAGTTTGGCTCTGTCAGCCGATGTATTTGGTTGGTTGGTTGATGTTATTGCTGTTAAAAACAAAGAAGAAGCAAATAATCTGTAGACATGTCAGTTAAATTAAAATGCAAAAACATATAACAGGGAATTGTTTCTTTGTCATGTGTGTTTAATAAATACACCACCACCTAAAGACAGCTGTTTCACATTTTTATATTTGGGATGTAATAATTAGATTTATTTGAATGCAACATATTTTGACATCTATATATCGGGATCAATTAGAAGAAATCTTGCACACAATGCTTAAATGTCATGTGAAATGGTTGTTAGTACATTTGAAGTATATTTATGTAAGTTGTAATCACAAACAAAGAACTGACACACAAAATGTATCCTTCTATTGCAAACTCGGATGGCAGAGTCTGGGTTTGGCGTCTGCCTGGAGAACGCCTCCTGCCGGAATGCATTGTGCCAACAGTGAAGTTTGGCAGAGGTGGAGTTATGATGTAGGGGTGTTTTTCCTGGTATGGCCTGGGACCCTTGGTTGCAATCGATGGTAGGATCAATGCCGATATCTACTGCGCTATTTTGGATAACCACATGCTTCCTACATTGTGGCAATTTTACAGGTTAGACCCATGTTACTTCCAGGATGATAACGCCAGCTGTCATGTTGCGACGACCACCACTGCTTGGCATAGTGACAATGGGGTTAAACGAATGGATTGGCCTGCTCATAGCCCAGACCTGAACCCTATCGAGCACCTCTGGGATGAGTTGGAGCATCGACTGAAGGGATGTCCCCACTGCCCAAAATTGGTGAAGGAACTCTTATGTCTTCTCCAAGCTGAGTGGAAGAAAATATCACCAGTCATACAAGGACTAGTGAAGAGTATGCCCCAAAGGGTCGCAGCTGTAATCTCCGCCCTTGGAGGTTCCACCAACTATTGACGATGAATAAACTTTGTTTTTCTGTTCTATCATAGGTGTCCAATTACTTTCTGGTAGATAGCATATATCATATTTTAGATGATCAATAAGACTATTTACAGTGAATTAACATTGCTAAGAGATAAAAATGACTCATTGCATGTGACTATGTAAAAGATGCATTTAATATGTATTGTGTCAATGAATTCATCATTTTTTTCAATTTGGTATTTTAATATATATTGTATTTCATATAAGAAATAATAAATAAATATAATTTGAGTATATTATTTAATGTTTAAGAAGTTAAAATCATCAGTTACCTCTAATCTTTCTTGTCATTCCAAAATAATCTTTAGTATCCTGTAAAGATTTTAAAACTAATTAACAAATTTTATGACAGTTAAAGATTTTAAACAAATATATTAAACACAAGAACGACAGTCAGAAAATAAAGATATTTCAATCAATTAAGTTAGTTAGAATAATCTATTTATTATATCCTAATGACATCACATCACATTATTTTGATTAATTACCTTAAAGATAAAAAGAAAAAAAATCAGCAACATCTAGAAACCTCGTTTATTAATTTTCTTTTTTTCTATTTGACCAATGTTATTTAAAATATCAGTTATAATTTAATGATTATTTAAGCATTCTAAAAGTTAATTCATAATAATCAGAAACTTCTAATTCTAATGATCGAAAGCCAGCTGCAAACTTGACATATTGGTAATCAAACTGTGAAGTTTGATTACCAATATGTAATCTGTAGACACGTGTAATTTAAAATGACAATTCAGCAGATTTTTTTAATATACGTATGTATGTGTAGGTATAAAAATGCTTAGATGAATAATTTTTTAAAATTTTTTATAATATAAATTTTAAAAAAGATCTTGAAAATTTCATAAATAATAAAGAATTAAAAAGAAAATTTTATTTCAATTTACATTTTAACATTTGTTTAAATTAATCAACAAGAATATGTTTACATTTTTAAAAATTATTTTATAAATATCTCTTCACAAACACCAGAAAATCCAGAAAAAAATTAACAGAAAATACAACAACAAATGTTTTCGACAATTTCAAATTGCCATCTTGCATCGAGCTGCCAATTTTAAATCGCCATCATCTATGTTACTTTTTTGGCTGGCTTTTTTGATGTTTGTGAAGAGATATCTCGTGCAGTTATTTAGGGTTGATGTTTATGAAAATGTAAACATGTTCCACAGAAATAAATCAAGATAAATGTCACTTAAAATATTTTCACAAACTTTACTAGAAAACAAAGGATTACTGTAAGTGCAATTGTTTCTGAATATTTTTTCAACTGTATTTTTGAGAATACTGGACCTTGATGTCTGATGGTAAGAGCACCAGATTATCTAGCGCAGGTGCGATATCAAATCTCTCGACAACCTGTTTCTTTTTCTATGGGTATCCGGAGGAAGATCTCCACAAATCAAGTCGGCACTGACGCGGAGCCAGTCCTACCAGGGCTACAAATAGGGAGAGCCGTACGCTCTCTCTCTCTCTATTGCACCTTTTAAGGTGATTCCTTTATCTTTACTGTAACCATCAATTCAAGAGATACTCATAATACAATTGATAAGTAAAATTATTTAAAAATCCCAAGAAAATTAAAATTTATTATAAGCAATTGATATATCGGTTAATAATGAAAATAATAAACATTAATTTTCAAATCATTATATACTATACATACATATTTATTTATTATTATTAAAAATTTTCATTAGTAACAAAATATATCATCAACCTAGCAATTTAATATATACAAATGAACACAATTAAATATCCAATTCTAAGAAGAATATATTTGTTTCATTAAAAAAATTGTTTAAAACAGTGGAATAAAATTTTATTTATAAACTCTTACAGGCTGTCAAATAGTAAACACTGAAATATTTTCCTTAATTAATCTTAACTGTTTTCAGCTAATTATGTCATGTTCAATTATCTTTTGATAATGAACTGTAAAAATTAAATAGCATTTAATCAATTCCGTAGACAGTTGATTATTAAATGTAATTAAAACTTTCCTGTAATTAATGATTTATGTGATATTTTAATATAACAATTCTTTGTAAACATCATTATTATAGCGATAAACTTTCTAGCTATAAAATAGGTAAACACAAAAATCATATATACGATATGTGAGAAAGGGTGCGATATTACATACTGCATCCTTTTATTATTACTATTAAACATTTCAAAAAATGAACCGTTAATGATATTTAAGAAAGAAAATTATTAATGTTTCATAGTGCAAATTAATTTTAATTTCGTTAAAAATTTGGATCCTCTTGTTATTTTTTTTACAAATATTTTTATTATAAAAAAAAAATAACCAAAAATTTAAATTAATAAGAATTTTACATTCACATTAGACCAAAATTAAATATCAAAAAAAAATTAAATTCATTTAGAGTATGATCAAAATTTATGATGTTCTTCCAAATGCATTTTGTTTCACTTTGCATATTATGAACTAAAATTATCTATTCTAATTCATTTTGTAAGATGAGAAATTATTATTAAAACTTGATGCAAATATCTGTCTCCTACAAACAAAAATTTTATGATGAATGCAAATTTTGCTAAAAAATTTATGAATTTATTTATTTATTTTATAAAATAATAATTTCTTAAAATTATACGTGCAGAAACTATTTAAAAAATGGACAGAATCCATTTTTCACAGGGGGTAAAAAAAAATTATTCTTGGTTTAACAGTCTGTCAGGTTTTTTTGTGTGTAGTGTTTGCTGTCACGAACAGGTGACTCTGACAGTGACTACTATGTCTTCCTTAACAGTCCGTGAAAGGTAACTTTTATTATACTTGTGTTATCGGGAGTGCTAATATCCATTTGAAGGGTAACTTGTGGTACGTTCTCGGTTAATTACGAGACGATGTGGCAGTGACAGTCCGTACTCCAGATCCTGCCGGGCTTCAATTACGGTGACGTGACAATTTTAGACGGAGAAAAACTATCTTAATCGTTCTAGTAAAATAACATAAAATAGAAAGGAAATAATTTTACAATGTGAGATTTTTTCAAAACAGACATTTAAGAACAAAAGTAATCTGATGAAATCTATTTACTGTAAATTTTTTGTAAAAATTTTATGTCATTCTTTGTCCAATTCGAATTTACAAATTACAGTTTATAAATAAAAAAACTACAGGGAAATGTACTTTAATAATAATAAAAAAATATAATATACTTGAGTAAAATATAAATATTCTGATTATTATTATGCTTTATAAACTTTCAAATTCTTAAATAATTTTAACAAAAACTTAAATTCAGTGTTTTTTTTTTAAATAAAAAAACAGCACATTATGCTTGAGTAATGATTACATAATATCATTAAAAATGGAATTATTCATAGGAAGAAAAAATTCAAATTTTGCATTGAAAAAAAATAAAACAGGGACATTAATTTCTGAGATATTTACGAAATTTTAATGCAAATAATTGAATTACTGTCGTCAATATTAAAATTTTTAAAACAAAATATAACCTATTTTATAAATCATTTTTTCATTTACCACAATTTCTTTTAAAGACAATCCCAACATTAATACATCTACATTAGAATACAGATTGATTTTGCTGTTGATATTGTAATTTCATAACAACAACAGTAAAAAACCAAATTGTATTGATATTTTGCATTAAACAATACAAGTTTCTAATAGGTTAAGTATTTCAAATTGGAAGCATTAAACTGTTATCCACAAACCATTAAAATATGGTTAAAGATAATTGAACATCAAAATATAAAATTGTTTTTTATTTGACTAGAAACATAACTCTTGACCTATTCTTGTTTACGTAAACTGGTTTTGTATAGTTGACGGAAAACACAGGGAAAAAAAATCCCGTCAAATAACAAACTTTACTCAAATGTAGCATCTGTAACATAATTATATGTGTGTGGAATATGCAACTCAAACAACCCAAATAATTACAAAATTTCCTCTCATCTCAATCAAATTACTTTTAAACAATTTTCTTATGTGTCAATATAATCAACGAAGATGATCAACACAAAACCTTCCTCGCTTATTTCTAGCCGTATATACAGGAGTACGAACATTCATACTCCTGTATACGGCTAGAAGTAAGTGAGGAAGGTTTTGTGTTGATCATAATCAATGAAATTTGGTACCATGGCTAATAAATCTTCTAAGAACTGTTACGGAACAAATTCAAAAACACCATAAATTTAAACTAATCTTCTAATCTCTTAGGCCAGTGACATGCAAACTATGGGTCGTGATCCCATGGAATTGAGAGAAAAAATTATGATGATGATGGTGATGATATAAAAACAAAAAAAGTGAATTGTTCAAGGCTCATGCTGTGCTACTATTGGATAATTAAAACCAAATAGTTCTAAAAAGATAATTGGGGGTCATAGTAAATTTCTGTTTAAAAATGGGAGAATTGCAGTAAAAAGTTTGTAGAACACTAGCTTAAGTTATTTTTGTTGGGATGCAATTTGAAAAGATTGTAGACCTATAAATTCCCACTGTCGTCCATTCAATGTTCCTTAATCTTAAAAACAGAGTTAGACAGATGAAAGACAAGCCCAGATATGAAAACTTCAGGGGAAGGACCCAATTAACTATATAAGAACGTCTGACGCAAACCAGAAATCACGTTATTTCAATTTAAAAATTTTTCCCTGAAAAGGTGTTACTGGCACAACTCTATTGTTAAAGAATAAGTATGATGTATTTTTATCAATTTCAAACTTACTTTAAAAATAAAATTATTTAACTTAATTAGTGTTGCTTATTGCTTTTCAATAGTAATATTTACCTCTTAATTTAAAAATATAAACAATTCTATTATGACCATTACACGATACATAAAAACAAATTCAAGACTATGATTATGGTAATTAAAAATCAACTCTGTGGAAAAAAAAAAAGACTACTACAAAAGTTATTTAGAAAAAGCTCTAAAAAATTGAGTAAATAAATTATTTCTTTGCTTAATTCTTATATTAAGTGTTTGCTATGGTAATCTACTTGCAGGAAGAGAAAAGAGAAAGATAAGAGTTTGGAATCTTAGACCAAACAGTCACAGTTTGTATTATTATAAGTTCAGTAAATAAAATCAATGTATTATTTTACAGTATTATTGAAAATTTTTATATTAATAAAACAAAACTGGATGCATTATAATAATTCTCAAATTTCAATCTTTCTATATTGTTAGTTGCTGAAAATTATTTCTCCTAATCTTCGAAATTTGAGATTATGATCGTTTACTAAAATGATCATCATAATTTTACAAATCACCTACTAGACTTGTGAATAAACTTTTTCTTGAGTAGATAATACATTTTTAATATACAGGTATACCTCAACTTACGTCGTTCCCGATTATACGTCGTTTGTCAAAAAAAGTATATGGAAAAATAAAAATCAAGTTTAAGTCATTTTATTCGACTTTACGTCTGTTTGCCACAAATATTGAAGTCGTAATATCACTAGAAAAACATTTAAAGCACATAAAATCATATTAAAATATATACATTTACATGTATGTACTGTATTTAAAGTACATGCATTTGTAAATTTAGATTATTTTTTTCTGTACTATATTAAAAACTAAAATTTATTTGTTTGTAAGCTTAAAATAGATCCTTATTAACCATATATTATTAAAAATGCATTAATAAATAAAATAAATAAAACAGGGAATGGTAATTTATGGTTTAGCCTAGTGACAAGTAGATTCAAAGACAAGTAAATTCGACTTACATTGCCTCTCCTGGAACCAATTACCGACATAAGGCGAGGTATACCTGTATAATCAGAGAAATCAAGAACTGATGTATTAAATAAATTCATCTCGAAACCATGAAATACTTTCAGGTCTCGAAGTCTTGTTATGACCAAATGATAAGACTGGATTAATTAACTACATCGGTATAACGCGGCCAATTAATTTCCTAGATATTACAGAACGGCTAATGAACTCAGCAAAGTTCGGGTTATCTTAAGAAAGCATCAAACAGATTCAAAAAATTATACAAGGTTTTGTTCATTGGTAACTATGCACATTACACTGACATGGAAGCAACTATTCAAACAAATTTTGTTTTATTTTGATCCTCTCTGAAAATTTATTTTGTTTTATTTACATAAGTTTGCATAGATTTTCTCCGTTATGTTTTAAAGAAATATCTGCAAAGGTTAAAAAAAAATTTCTGTCAAATGATGAACAAAGTAATTTTAGTAGAGCAATCTTCAACAAAACAATTTAAAGTGATATATTTCAAGAGGCTATAACTATATTTAAAAAAATAAAATCATCAGAAGTAGATGAGAAATAATATAAATAAGCTTTTCTAAATACTTTCAAAATATTCGCATCAAGAGATTTTATGTAGGATGCAATAAAGTAAATTATTAGAATTCGGGTAAAGAGATGTCATTTAAGTGGTACTCGATTTTAGCGGTTGCACGTTGTTATTTAGATTGTATGTTTTATTAATTTACTATTTCCAAAATGAAAGTAACAGAATGTGAAGTTAAATAAATTTCTTGTAGTGTTTTCAATGGCAGATCAATCTGCAGGCAGTGACAACACAGATTTGTTTGCCAAAACTTTTGTGGTTGTTGAGAGAAATTTGTAGGTTTACATGAATTTTTCTATGAAATAAGATGAAACAAAGTCATAGAAAAGAAAGATAAATTTCCTGAAAAGTTGAGCAAAAAGAAGACAGCACCAATACGAGCAATTATTTATTATGACATCATCACAATGCCATGCTGCAATTTTTAATCAGATTTTTTTAATTTACTTAATTTAAAATATATGTTCTTCACTTCAAATTAATAGTGTCTTGCCCTTGTACATAATACTTTTCCTGTTAGCAAGCCCCTGTACGTATACTTTTCCTGTTAGCAACAGTCATCAGATGATCAGAGACTCATTTTTGTGTTTTTGGTACCTCAAGCCCTGGGGATTTAAAGTTTCACAAACTATAAATACTGTATTGCATTAACTGTATTTGAAAGTAAATTACATTAGCTTTTGAGTAAATTAATCTTCGCACGCAATGTAGTTTCACAGCACTACATTGACTGATGACATAGTAATTACTATCTATGTTGAGAGTTTGGTCTCTGTAATTATACTCTGTGGTATATACTGTGCTTTTACAACAATACACATTCTAATTTCTTTTTTTACACTGTTTTGGATAATCTGGAGTTACAGATAATCAAGCTTCTATTGTAATTATATTAATTAAGACTGCATAAATATAAAAACTGGAAACAATAATTTTATTTGATATATTTAAAAAGAATTTGGTTTCTTGTAAATATTAGATTTAAGCTAAGATTTACAAGAAATCATGATAATTGTATAACTTGACAGCAAGGACACTTAGATATTATAAAAAGTTCTTAAAACATTTTAATAATATTTTTACCTAGGATGTACATATAGGCATTCCTTAGTTTAAAAATACAAAACAAAAGCTGTTGTCACTGGGGAAAAAATATTTTATATTGTGAGAAAAGTTAGTCCTCCAGAGAATAGCAGCTATTACCAAGGATGCAATGTTTTTGATAACATGGAAAAAACTTTTAAATCAATGATCTTGACATTCAAGAGTCTGTTCTAAGGTTTAAGTGGAAATGCATGGACCTATAATCAAACTGCAATAATGGACCAATCTGTTTCATAACAAGGAATGTTATGAAAAATTGTCCCAATGGTAAAAGGATAGTAAATCTTTACTAATCACCAACTGTATTGAACAGACAAAAATCCTTTCAACATTTTGTCTTTAAATACACACCATATACACTGCTGCCAAATTTCTAGATTCAACAATAAAATGGTCAAAAGTTTACATATTTTTGATGTAGGTCTATGTATACCATACATCTACATATGTAATATGTAAGACATGATCTGACTTTAAAATTATCAGGGGTTGAATTTCAGTGAGAACTGTGGGAATTCTGCATATTTCTGAGAAATCTCCTCTTGAAGAAATTACCAGCGACTTCCCCTTACCAATCTGCAATCTGTGCTATTACAGCATCGATTACAATATAATGTAATATTTGTAATGTAATAGAATAAAACAAAATAATGGTTCCTTCCATTTATTATTATTGGAGAGAGTTGAAAAAAAATGCATATACTATGTTCCCATCCATATTACTAAATTACAAATAGACAGCAGTTTGGCTGAGTGCTTAAAGTGGTAGCTACCACTCTGGGAGATTTGAGATCAAGATAGGTAGAAATCCCCAGGAATTTTTAGGGGGTGATCTGTCAGGATATGTTAGGCCCCATCCCTCACCATCTTGCCACCTCATTATAGGCTTGACTACTCATAATGAGCTTGCTAAAAAAAGGTCCTCTTAGTGTCCACCAGCAGGCAGGAAGAGTTATATTATTGTATTATCAATTGGCATATTTAAATCTCAAACAATTTTACAACTTTAAAAATTCTGTGTTAATTAAGAAAATTATAAATTTGAGGGAATTCTCAATAATTTAATATTGATAAAATTTTTGAGATAGTTTAATTTCTTCCAAACCCTCGCAACTATACTCTCAATTTACGAGCAGGTGGTAATGAACTAGTCTAAAAAATGAAGTGTAAAAAATGATTAACAAACAGTACAATGTAAATTGTCCTTGTCATTTTTCAATTTTCATTTTACTAATTTTAATTGTGCATCCAAAAAAAAAAAAATAATTAATTAATTTCCAATTAAACTTTTCCAGTTTATTAATAATTTAATAAAATTTGTAAAATTTATTAAGGGACAATTTAATAAATCTATGCTTTTAACAGATTAAATTATTGTCAATGAGATGAATGCCAATGTTCTATTATTTTCTCCGTTAAACTTTGGTAATCATTTACTTCCAGACATTGCATAAAGGACAATTTTCAATAAACTGCCAGTCCTGTTTATCTGCCAAAAATATCATAAAACCAACAGCAGTGGCGTATCAAGTTTGTATATAGTTAATTGGGGTCCCCTGCTACTAAGCCTTCCATATCTAGTCTCGACTTTCGTTTATGTAACACTGTTCTTTACATTAAGGAAGGACAGACAACAGACTAATGACAGCGGGAATTTATAGATCTACAATTTTTTCAAATGTAACCCAATTAAAGCAACAAATTTTTTATTTTGTAAAGAAATAACAAAAGTGAGCCGTAACTCAAAATGGTTGGGAACCACAATACCAGCTTATAACATGAACTATACTAAGATTCTTATAAAATTTAAAACAAATTACATATAATAGCATCGCAAAGCCCGAGTAGTATACAATAAATCACCAAACGATCGCCTAAATATCAAGCTATAATGCAGTGCCAACCTCCGTTTGGCACCGCATGGCAAGCGGAGGTTGCGGGTTCAAGCCCCGTCCTGGGCCAGTTCTTTTATTCCAGAAGGTTCTGAATTTATTTAATAATTTATTTATTTAATTATAATTATTAATTTACTTAAGAGATGGAACCTAACATCTACCTCTAATGTCAAATTACTTTATACCAATCATTTAATTAGCCATATTATAGCCCGATATTTAGGCGATTGTTTGGCGATTTATTAAAATAAATTACCTGACTTTTAGATTTGTGTGATTTAAACACAAGAATATCAAAACCATGTTTCTTACTTATTTCATATATTGAAGTTCAATTCATATTTCATACTTTCAGGTATTAATAAGCAAATAATAATAATCTTGTTCTTTCTAAAAGTAACATTTAAGTGACACTATTAATAATTATTTTTCAGCAGTGTAATTTAAATCTGGTAATTATTAAAACACAATTCAAAACTGAATACAATAATGTCTTTTCAACAAATCTCCAAGTCATTGTATCTAGAAAAATGACAACAAATGGTTTCTGAATTACATTATTATTTAATTAATTTTAAATGATGCTTTCAATGTTTATTATAAATTTAAGTGTTAATAAGATGGTTAAAGTTTGTCTTAAAAGATCAAGAGAGCATTTAAATTTGATATTTTTAAACAATCATGCATCAAGACATGATGAACTTGAAGATTTCCTACATTAATCTTTATAAAGATAACCTTTGCTTAACTATTCTTAGTTACTTTGATGTTTCACTTAACAATTCTTTTTGTCTAATATTGTTCAATAGAATTTTTGGACTTTTATAAATTAGCTTGAGTTAATTAGTCTAATTATAAAACTTGCCACTTAATTATAAAAGTCAATTTTGTTTAATCTAATCAGCACACTCAATGTATAATCGATGTAATTAGTATATTGTATAACAAGAAATTTTTGGATTATCTTTGTAGTCTTTCTTCTAAAACTTATATATATATAAATTTTTTGTTTAAGTAAATTACTTGTAAAAATCTCATAAACCAAAATTTAATAAAAAGCATTATCACCTTTATTTTATGGCATTTTCAAGCAAAAAAATCAAAGATAAGAATGCGGCAATATCAAGTTAAAATTGCTTAAATATATTTATGAGCAAGTGTGTGTGTAAATAAACAGCAAGCAAAATGTTTAAAGTCAAGATTTTCCTCGAGGAGTTCGACAGGGAAAAAGATTAAATTCAATTCATAAAAACAGGTGTTAGTAAATATGTTAAGCAATAAAATTTTTTTTAAAATGTGATGATACTACTGATTAGAATTGTGGTGATTTAATGTACTTTACACAGAATGCAGGAAAATCTCCATTATTTTTTTTATACCGTTCTTATTGCAGTAAATTGAACAAAGGTATTTGCTGTTTTTTTTTACTGTGTTATTCTATACATT